ACTATGCGGCTCATGGCTTTCTTTTGGAAAAATGGTCCTCGTTTTAGCCTAAATCCAAAAAAATGGACCAGTCCATAGTGACCGTTTATGTTAAAATTCCTAAAGTTTGCCTATTTTACAAAATTCCTTACTTTTGAGGGTGTTTAAAATTAATGCAAATCATAAGGAGATGCTTATATGGTAATGAGACTAGAACCTGTGAAGTTTTATGGAACTATAGTATCAACTATTTTCCCATCAGTTTAACAAAAGAGAGTATATTTTATGATAAACCATATAAAATGTATTGAATAGTGAAGTATAATAATCAATGGTTAAAATTGAAAGCTATTCTTAACGGCGCTCAAGAAAGTGATAATAATGAAGCAAAAGGGCTACTGACTAATCAGATCACAGATTTTCACAGTCATTATCAGTCTCTTTACACCCGTTATGATCACCTTACAGACGAGCTAATAAAAAAGCAATCGGTAAAAACGGGGACGACAACTCGTCATCCAGCTCAGATTCCTCGATCTAGGAGGAATCTCCAAAAAAAAGGAAAAAAGAATGGGAAAGTCGATAACGATCTTGAAAACGATGCAATAGGTGTCAAGCATGAACTCGAGCTGGCAATTTCTGGGATGGCCTAAGGAGAAAGTTGGCAATCACTTAAGAAGAAAAGAAACCGCTAGTTAGGGAGTGTGAAAGGTAGTGCTGTTAAATTAAACGAGCCTGACTCGGCTCGGCTCGAGTTCGGCTCGAGTTCGAGACCTTAACCATCCGAGCTCGAGCTCATTTAAAGGTTGTTTTTTTTTCATTTCATGTGAGCTAATCATTTTTCTAGGGTTTTCGATCATTGTTCTTGAGTTTTGAGAATCGTTGAAGGGTGACACTTCAACTTGCAATTATTTTAATTGAATTCGATAAATTCGTGCTAGATGTTTTTAATTCTTTAGGGACTAGTTGATTCAATTTGTTGTAAATATTTTCCAGAGTAGAATCGAAAATTCGATCACTGGGTCGTGTCTCTCGAGGAAGGTCAGCCGAAATATTAAGCACGTTTATTCAAACACAAAAAGAAAAAATAAAATTCCTAAACATTCTAATTCAGATTAAATGTTGATTTTTTTACTATCAACTACTGCAGAGATTAAAATAGAGCAATAAAAATAGCAAGCGAAGATGAAGAACAAATAGGATTTAAAGCTAGGGAGTCGGGGATATTCGTTTTGTTTCAAAATGCAATTATCGGGCAAGTGCTTGTTCGGTTAAGTGATTTGAATAACCTATCGTTCAAGTATTCATCCTCAATAACTTTTTGTAACAAGAGGACAAGCTTGAACGACAAATTAACAATTCATTTAACGCCTAGGCAATACAGTTACGAACAAGCCTAGTTCATACGAGCCTATTTCGACCGACTCCTCCCCTTTCGGTTCTAAGAGTAGATTAAAGTAGACTAGAAGATGGTTAATCAACTAGCCCGTTTAGAATTCCTATCATTATGCACGAATTAATCAAATCCAAATAAAACAATTGCAAGTTGAAGTATCACCCTTCAACGATTCTCAAAACTCAAGAACAATGATCAAAAATCCTAGAAAAAAGATTAGCTCGCACGAAATGAACAATCTTAAGCCCGACAATCACAAATGATTCCAAAACATCAATCCCCTATCCCTATCAATTGAATTTAGCCACTCATAATCGAACAATCAACGAAAACAATCACAACCCAAGAATTCATAAATAATGATTAAATTAAATGAGATTCTTACGATTGATATATCCCAACGTGAATTCGATAAACAAGCTTAATCTAAAAGAAATGGAAAAATTTGTGTTCAAATCCTTATTCACAATGAAAACGATGGAAGAAAGTGTAAAAACGAGATAAAAAGATGAGAGGAAGGGTTTTGTGATTTTTTTTTTTTTTTTTGTCGTAAGAGAATGAATAATCTCTCCAAGTCCCGGTCGCTTATTTATATTAAGAACAGGTCTTGACGTGCTAGGCTGGCAGTGCAGCGTGGGAGGAGAAGTCACCGCGGCGCGAGGGATCTTCACAGCGCGAGATGCGGGGGCTTCACGGCGCGGAGGTGCTTCCCGGCGCGGGGCTGGACGAATACTGCAGTAGGTACCACGGCGCGCCATCTGCCGCGGCGCGGAGAGGGGGTCTGCCACGGTGCGGGGGTCCCGCGAGGTACGGCTGGGAGAACTGGCAGCAGGTGCCACGGCGCGGTGGGTCTTCGCGGCGTGGGAGGGCTGATGTTGCGGTGCGGAGGTCTCGCGAGCTACGCTGGGGAGAAGAACTATGCATGTGCCGCGGCGCGGGGCGCTTGTTTGCATCCTCTGTCCGAGACGTGGCGTGGTCGCGGCGCGAAGCCTGGGCACTTGGGCCTCAATGCATTATTCTGCGTATTATGTCCGTTCGAGCTCGTCCGACCTCTGAATTTGGTTTCGTTTTCTGTTGCATGTCGCCGACGAGACACTCTATCTAATTATGTTCCCCGGGCTGATTTATCGTGGAAAATAGGTCCTCACGAATCTCACAATCTGCACACCAGACGACGAAAAACCGAAAAAAGACCGAAGAAACACAAGAAAGACCAAAATAAAGCGAACAACGAAATAAACTTCAAAATGAACTAAAACCAACTAATATACCTAATATGGGGGAAAAAAATAAAGAAAAAATAATAAGGAAAAACGTAACAAAAATGAGACAAACAGCTAACGAGTCGAGCTCGGCTCGGCTCGGCTCGGCTCGATAAGGCTCGAAAACATAATTTTTATATAACTCGACTCGTTAAAGCTAGAGATCGACTCGTTAAGGCTTGAGCTCGAGGCCTTAGTGAGCCAGGCTCGTGCTCGAGCTCGAGCTCAATTTTAGGCTCGTTTACTTAACAATCCGAGCTCGACTCGGCTCGTTAAGGGCTCGAGCTCGAGCTTGAGCACCCTAAGCTCGAGCTCAGCTCGGCTCGTTTATAGCTCTAATGAAAGGTCCTTGAGCAAAATTGAGGAGGCGAAGAAGACAATATCGGAGTTAGAAGGTGAAGCTGAAAAATTCAATAGCGAGACTTCCAGATTATTGGCCGAAAATGAGAGTTTGCGTAAGTCGCAAGGTGAGGCAAGCAAGAAGCTAAATGAGGTGATTCTAGAAAGGAGTTGATCTTTAAGAATCAATAAGAAGACGAAAAATTTGAGAGTTGTTAATAGCCAGCTGTAAGACGAGAAAGACGCCATACAACTAGAATTGGAAGTAGCAAGGGGGAATTTTCTAGTTTAAGTGACAAAATGCTATTGATAGACGATGGAATTTCTAAGTTGAGTCAAATGCAAAAGGCTGAAGAGGAGAAAGGTAGTCTTTTCCTAAAGATTCACATCTTTCAGTACATGTGAATCAGGCTGAAAACAAGATTCAAGATCTTGTAAATGAGTCGAGCCAATTAAGTGAGATACTGAGACACAAAGAAAAAGAGTTGTCGAGTCACGAGGCTTACAGGGAAGAAACCAATGTGAAAATAGAATTGGCAGAAAAGGAAAATACTACTCTTTCTTTAAAGATTTCACAACTTGAGGATGAGATCAAAGAAGCGGAACGCAAGATTCACAATCTCGTAAATGATTCGAGCCAGTTGACAACAATCTTAGGCGTGAAAGAAAAATAGCAATCTAGTCACCTGGAGAGTCACGAGGCTTACAGAGAGAAAACGAGGAAGAAACTGGAATTAACAGATTAGAAAGTTTAACTAAGTGAGAGTCACAAGGTTTCCCAGGATAACACTAATATGTTCTTAAAAATTTCAAAGTTAAATTTTTCTCCAGCACAACACCGAAAAAATCAATTTCACACAAAAAAATAAAGGAAGAAGAGCAAGTTAACCCTTTGAGGAAAAAATACAACAATCAATCCTCCAAACATATTACCTCAATGAGATAACCTTATACATTAAAGTTGCATCACTAAGTTTTCTCAAACAAATTAGAAAATTTCATTATTTACCTGTGTTGAATTTGGATTCACCGTTCTCAAATGAAACTCAGATATACACAAATTTTGTTTCTCCCTTCAATTTCCCCACTCAGATACCGTGAGTGTTCCTTATGTTTTTGTCGCGATTATTTCCCCTCTTCTTAAGTTGTTCTCCCACGATTTTATAGATTCTACAGATTCTGGGACGTTTTTTTTTTTTCTAAGTCATGTCGTCTGATATGGGATATTATATGTACCAGACCGGTCTGCTGGGCTAACAGAATAAACTGGTTTGATCAAGCTGGTCAAAGAAAATACTCGTCGAGCTATGAAGGTCTCAAGGTCGGAGATAAGCAGATCCATAAGGCTTGACAAATCCCTATACACAGAGGGGCTGGTCGAAGCGCTAGACGGTCGAGCACAACAGAAGGCGGTCACCAAATGTGGTCGAATCCAACACTGGTGGAATGACCCAACAGCCCGCCAGGATGTGGTCGAACACTAGAGCCTCCAAGGGAATCTCCAGTACGCGAACGGAGGACACGTGACACACAACGAGTGGTCCAGGGCGATAACGGTCTCTGACATTCCCTGACGCGTTCTGACGCGTTTTTGACACCAAGGTAGTGGAGGCAGGCGATTGTACGACCGGGCAGTTAGGGCAGCCAGCTCAGCTCGCCTGGCAGCTCCTAGGGCAGGTAACTCGTCCCTATAAATAGGGACAAGATCTCTTGTTTTAGGAATAATCTCATAAAACACTTACATACTTTCATACATATTCTTCGTCTTCTCAAGATTGACTTGAGCGTTGGAGGCTCTTTATCGGAAAATCCTTCTGGGTGTGAGAATTATGTGCAGGTACGGCGTTCTACCGGCGAGGAAAGCGAGCTCGAGACGCTTGTATTACCGTCGAATACACTTTTCGACTCCAATCAGTGGTCAAGCCACGTCACCAAAAATTACATCGTATCCATTGAAAGATAAATATGAAAGACATTGTCACGTGCCCTTCTTTTTTGCACTTAACAGTGCATTGGAGATTGGGATGCTCCCATTTTTGCTCTCCCGCGCTGTGGCTTCCATCCAGCGGCGAGGAGGCGCCTCCATGGTGGTCCGGGAAACCGCCGCCCGCCAGCTGGAGGAGCGCCGGGCCGACTTGGGGTACTCGAAGCCCGTCTTCGCCCTCGACATCATGTGGAACCTGGCCTTCATGCTCGTGTCCGTGGTTATGCTGATTTGCTCGGACAGGGAAAAGACCAGTGTGCCGATTAGGGTTTGGGTGTGCGGGTATGCTCTCCAGTGCCTAGTGCACGTAGTCCTAGTTTTGGTGGAGTACAATAGGAGGAATTCCGGGCAAGAAAGGAACCGAGTCGGCAGCGGGAGTAGAGAGGATGACATTCAGACAGAGGAGGATGACAGAAGCGGGCTCTTTGGCATCTCTAACGTCTCGAGGTGGCAGATTTTTTATTTTTTATTTTTGTTTTCCTATAATGTGGTGCCGATGATAGTTTTGAAGTTTGAGGATGTGTGCCTTGGCTTGTCACTTTAGTATGGAATTTTTGTAAATGTTCGTCCAATTCTTCTGATCACTCCATACCTTATATTGCTACTGTAAGCATATGAATACTGAAATAGGGGTATTATGTTTATTGGTGGTGATATGGTTTCTTAATGCTGGCCAATCAGCTCTATCAATTGAGTTCTTTTGTGGGATTCAGTCATGATGCTTTTCTGAGTCTAAAGAGTAGATGAAGCACTCATTGGTGTGATATGATACGAAAGTGCTAAAGGCTCATAAAGTTTCTTGGCCCGAGAATTTGTGTTGTGGTAATTTTTTTGCCATTCTGTTAATAACAGGATCTTGATGATGTTGTATCAAATGAATGTTTGGCCATACTTGTTATGCTGAAGTCTTGTGCTTTGTCTAAGTGCACCATATTCATAAATGTAAATCGAGTAGAGGGAAATGATGTGTTACATCGTTTCATTTAATATTCTGAGGGATGGGCTTGTCTGGAAACATTTGCTTCTTAACTATTAGTTTCCAGATGCTGAAAGTTTTAGTTATATTTCAAATTCGGCAGAGGTTTGGAAATCCTTAAATTTTCTTTGTGGCTAATTCTGATGGATTTCAGCATGGTGAAACGATGCAAATCTGTGAACGCAGTGATCTCATTTGTATGGTGGATTGTTGGCTTCTACTGGGTGGTCTCAAGTAGCGAAGCTCTTTCAACAGATGCTCCGCGTTTGTATTGGTAAGTCTAAAGCCCTCCCGGTTTAATGCTTCAGTTTGTACTGCTCTTCTTATTGTTAATACTGTAAGCCAGTTCTATCTTATGTTACCTTGGGCATATGTTTATAGGAATGTTATAGATTTGTTTTTACTTTGAATTTGAGAGTTAAGGCATTCTCTTTTAAAGTGCGGCTTACTCTTTGCTGAGGCAATAGTTTTATATTCCTTGCTGCTATACCAAGTATTTGAGGAAAGTTTTATGTTATGTATGAAAATCTATATCTTCATTACAGCATACAAAATCCTATGTCTGGGGACTGAGGATCTAGGTTGTTGAAACATGTTGGACATTATATACGTCTTTCTTTTATAACAAATTAACAATTCTAAGGAAAGCACTTGGTGCTTTTTATTTATGTAATGTTATCTCGTGAAACATATGTTCCTCACGGAATCAGTGTTATATATGGCGGATGGCGGAAAATGGCGACAGGCTGAAATCCCACCATAATGGCTGCCATTAGGCTAGCCATGGCGGCGTATGGGTCTGCCGTAACGCAACTCTTCACAAATTTATTAATGATGTTTAGATAGCAACCCGCCATGGCAGAAATTTTATAACTCTGCACAGGATTAAGAAAAAAAGACCAAGTTGCATGCATAACCAAAGCGTTAAAGGGTCATAATATGAACAGCCAGTCAGTCCTGTTTGACTTTCACGTGTAATGCAAAATCAAAGTCCACTCACTGTACATCTCCTTTCCTTAAAAGCAGTGTACAAACCTTTGACATGAATGCAACATAAATATCATGAAATTCTCTGCTATTAAATTTGACATTGTCCAGTACTGAGTCAAATTTGGTGGTTGTTCATTCCAAATGCAACTCACCAACCATCTCATACTAAGTAATCCTTGAATTTACTATCCATTTTATGTAAAATAACCTCCATACTTTCCACTAGTAAAACAGCTGTTGTGAACAAAATGTAAAGTGAGAAACATAAATTTAAAGTTGTGCCTGTAATTTGCAGAATCTTTCCTAAGCGATTTGCAACCACTATTTTAAATCGAATAATTCCCTGTGGCATGTTATCTATTCAGCAGAAGATGGCAAGTAACTTGCATATGCTTATCAGATTTGGAAGCAAAAAGGGAAGAAAATAAGATGGGGTGCAACTCAAACTTAATGCTGCTAACATTTTACTACTACCCATTATGATACTAATTGCTTAGGAAGACTTGGTGATTGAAAGAGATAAAGCATCACATATAAGATTCATAACTGCCAACCAAAGAAATTGTGGATCGATATTAACTAAATTGAAGTTTGCATAATATGAGGATTTACAACGACCTTTTATTCATGTTGCATTGGTCTGTTTTGTTAACTTTCTTCAAAATATTGCACCAANAAAAAAAAAAAAAAAAAAAAAAAAAAAAAACTTTCTTCAAAATATATTTTGCTGATTATCGATATCTTTATACTCATTCTTTGTATTTTTATCACATAAAGAGGAAAAACCTGACAGGTCTCTATTTTGGAAGTCCTGCAGGTTGGCTGTGGTATTCTTGGCGTTCGATGTAATCTTTGCCATATTTTGTGTTGTCTTAGCATGTCTGATCGGGATTGCCCTCTGCTGCTGCTTGCCTTGCATCATTGCAATTCTTTATATTGCTGGACAGGTATAATAATAATAATAATAATAATAATAATAATAATAATAATAATAATAATAATTTATAAAGTCATCATTTTAGGAACCTTCACCTTATTATGCAGCAAGGTGCATCAGATGCTGATCTGAACATCCTTCCCAAGTACAGATTTCAAGCATCCAAGGATGAGGAAAAAGCTAATATTGCAGCTGGTACTATGGTTCCTATTGAAACAAGCAGTGGGTACATGGCTAACGACCAAATTCTTTCTTCTGAGGATGCAGTAAGTGTCTTTATCTTTTATTTCTCTTCAGAATTTATAATTTCCCAATAAAGAAGGATGTCTTCTTTCGATTTAAATGTGGTACCAAGTTACCATGGCCAGTTGTAAATCTCATTTAGCCTATTGATCGGAGCACGAAGGGCGTGGTTATAATACCAATGCTCTCTGTTTAAAATTTGGTCTTGTTTAATTTTCCAGGAATGTTGTATATGTCTCTGCCCATATGAGGATGGAACCGAATTACATGCTCTTCCATGTAACCATCATTTTCACTCAACTTGCATCGTGAAATGGCTTAAGATGAATGCCACATGCCCACTCTGCAAGTACAACATCCTCAAAGGGAATGATCAAGTCTAAGAGAAGTAACGAAAATCTGAAAGCTCGTTGGTTGTGATTTTTTGCTTCAACCATGTTTTTGTTTGGATTTTTGTGGAAGTGAATGCCTAATATAGAAACCTGTCGGTTACGTATATGTTTATGGGAAACAATGATGGAGTAGCTTTCTTGTAAATGATCATCACTTTTTATGGTTAGTTTTGCTTCCTTCGTATATTTTTGCGCATCTGTTGTCTTTTGGTTGGTGTAAGGAAAGATGACTGCACATATGTATGAATTTTGCAGGTGCTAGTTTACTCATACAATGAGGAATGATATGTAAAATAGTGATACTCTCTTATTCAATTCATAATACAGCGATTGGTAGAATTTTTATAAAGGCAGTATTGTTCCAAAAGGAATTGAAAAACCAATCTCCCCGCGGTTTTAACAATTCCCATATGTTTAAGATTTAGTTTTAATAACTAATTAAAACTACTAACAATGATAAATAAATATCAAATACAAATTATAATTAAATTGTTTTTAAAATTAATTATTATAGAAAATAAATTTAAAAAATAATAAAAAATTTGTATATAATGTATCCATAAAAAATTAATTATTTTTTTGTTTATTATTCATATTTTTCGTAGATATTAAAATATTTGTATATAATGTATCCATAAAAAATTTAAAGTAGTTTCTTTTATTATCTATTCATATATATTATATATTTATTTAGAAATTAATAACTTATTTTTACTTATAAACCATAGTTTTACAATCGGACCAGTGATTCGCCCGTGCTAGACTCTGGGTCGCCGATCCAACTATCGACTCACCGAGTCAACTGTTAAGAAATTAATTTTATAAAAAATTTAAATTAAATTATAATAAAAATAAATTATTTATATGTAAATTTTATATCGCAAAGTCTTAATAATAATTTATTGTCATAAATATTTACCACATACATATATACAGAATTTATTTTCAAAAATAAAAAGATAAAAGAAATAAGGGTCTTGTCAACAGGTCAATACTCATATCGATTGGGTCAAGGTCGAGTCCACTAGGGCATGACCGAGTCGACCGATACCTTGCTACTCGGTCCGAACAATCCACCCGGACCGGTCCTAGTCACGGGTCGACTCGTCGGTTTGGTCTGGGTTTAAAAACTTTGTTGTATACAATCATAAATGCCAATAAAAGTTTATCTACTACTATTTTATTTTTTTACCTCATTTCATCATACTGATTATGCCATACTAGTACTTATTGCAATAATTGCTATGGACATGTAAATGCTAATATAGTCCAATAATAAAGTTTAATAATATAAAATTTTAAAAATATAAAATTCATTGTAAAAGAAGAAAAAAAAAGGATATATAATCTAAAAACGGAAAGTTCTGAAAGACGCTAGGTGTTTGGTTGGACTGAGGCCTAGCACCTAGAGCTTCAAAACGAGGTCATAAATACTAATAAATTTATTTATATTTATAATTATGCATAACTTACAAAATAAATTTTATAAAATATACTAATTAGTATGGTTGAATACAAAGACTTTCAAAAGTATTATATACTTAAATTTATTATGTTAATAATAAATTATTATATTAATTATACATAAATATTATTTTTTTGTTTTACAATTAATGTATATTTCACGTATAAAATCAAAATAAAAAAAAAGTATATAAAAAAATTATATCGGTGCCTGGACGCTTAGGCAGCGCAAATACCACTTAATTCGCCGTCCAGACCACCTGAACAGTCTAAACGTTATTAACTTCTCAACTACCTAGACCGAGTAAGCGGCTCCTTGCCCGCGTAGAGGGTGCCCAATTGTCTGAGTGCCTAGAAGAGCCGTCTAGCAAAAAATCAAGGTGCGCAGGTGCGACCTAGCTGATGCGGATGAGGGTCGTCGGCTGAAGAATGCGTACAACCGGGCTCGTCGAGCTGAAATGAAGCTGCAGAAAAATAGCAGCTTAACAGGGGTTAGCGCCGCTAATCCCTTAGCGGCACTAAGGCGCTGAAGATGGCTGGGACAGAGGCTTCACGCTAAGATGATTAGCGGCCAGTAATGACCCTTAGCGGCACTAAGGGTCCTTAGCGGCGCTAAGGCCTGGGCGGGAGCAGTTTTTTATTTCAGTTTTCTTTTCATTTCAAGTGTATTTGGGTAGTTAGTAGGATGATATGTATGCATTTTGTGTGACATTTTCAGACTACTTTTTGCATTATTATCATATTTCTTAAGAAAAGCTTGTTTCCAAGCAAACCATAGTGTCTAAATCGGGTTCTTTAATTCGGTTTTGATACAAAATTTGATACTCGATACACGATTCGTAACATTGGTGCTTTCATTGAGAGTTACTAATCGTGTATCATGGCAACTAATCGAGAGAGGATGAATCATATGGAGGAGCATGCGTGCAATGAGCGAAGAAATTCAATCCACGAATCAAACGATGGCAAGACTCGAGAGGATGATGCTCCAAACCGTTGGACGACGAGCTAGGAGGGGTAACCATTCAGAATCATCTTCCGAAGGGTCAGCCGAATCTGAGGAGGATCACGAAAATCGGAACGAATTTCCGGAGGATGAAGATGTTCGTTCAAGGGGATCAAATCACCGTGGAAGGCAAAGGGTCGAAAGGCCTAAGTTAATACTTCTGACATTTAATGGTACGGATCCTGATTCATGGTTAAATCGTGCTTGTCAATACTTTGAGATTAATGAGATATCCAAGTCGGAAAGAGTAAAATATGCCGCCTATTATCTTGACGGAGAAGCAAATGTGTGGTGGCAATGGCTTTCGAGGGTATACAAAAAAGAGGATAAGCGGATTCGTTGGAAAAACTTCAAAAAAGAGATGATTATTCGCTTTGGTGTGTCGGATTATCACAACTATAATGAAGCTCTATCACATATCAAGCAAACGGGAAGCTTAAGGGAATACCAAAAGGAATTCGAGAGAATTGCAAGTCGAGTTCGCGATTGGCTGGAGGGAGCACTAGTCGGTACATTCATGGGTGGGTTGAAACCCGAATTGGCAGCTGAGGTGAGGTTAGACAAACCAAGAACCATGCGTGCCGCCATGGAAGCCGCTAGGATGCGTGACGACCACTTGATGGCACTACGGAGGGCCAATCGACCGGAAGTGAGGCGACCGATGACTTTCCCTTCTAATGTTCAAAGAACGGGATCCAATACATCAACCGGTAATGGAAAAGACCTTTCACCGGGGGTTAAGCGTTTGTCTTGGGAAGATATGCAAAGAAGGAGAGAGAAAGGCTTGTGCTTTAATTGTGACGAGAAATTCACACCCGGTCATCGGTGCAAAGAAAGGCGATCGTTTTTCATTGAATGTGTTGAGTCCGAAGAAGATGAAGTAGTGGGGGATGAAGTGAAAAGTGTAATCGATCTTCACGAGGAGGATCCGGAGATATCGGTCCATGCAATGGCGGGAACTCAAGGACCCAAGACGATGAAGATGCCAGCTTGGGTTCGCGATCGACGTGTAATTGTGCTAATCGACAATGGTTCGTCTCATAATTTCATTAATTCATCATTGTCCGATAGGTTAAATTTACAGGTCACAAAAGTTGAGCTGTTTGAAGTGAGGGTGGCTAATGGTGAGAGATTGAAATGCTCGGAGTTTTACCGGGGTGTGCCGATAAAAATGCAAGGGGTCACCTTAAAGGCCGACTTGTATGCACTACCTTTGGTAGGTCTGGACGTGGTTTTGGGGGTTCAATGGTTGAAAGGATTGGGTTCGGTTACTACGGATTACAGAGTGGGAATAATGGAATTTCGTTGGGGTGATGGCATGGTTAAATTATCAATCGGAGGAAAGGAGGGAACGAAGGAGGTGAGTGCTCAAAGTTTGGAGAAATTGTGGAGGCAAGGTAGTCAAATCTTTGCCATTAGAGTCGATAAATTGGAGGGTGTTGATGAGGAACACTTTCAGCAAAAGGAGATTGACGAGTTGCTTCAATAATTCGAAGAAGTGAAAGCTGATCCAAAAAATCTACCACCACGAAGAGAGTTCGATCATCGCATTCCGTTGTTGGATGAAACCAAAGCTGTACATGTACATCCTTATAGGTATGCCCATTTTCAAAAAATCGAGATTGAGAAGCAAGTTCGTGAAATGCTTGAGTCCGGATTAATCCGGCATAGTACGAGTCCTTTTTCTTCACCGGTACTTCTCGCCAAGAAAAAGGATGGGACGTGGAGATTTTGTACGGATTACCGGGCTCTCAATGCGGCAACCATAAAGGATCGTTTCCCAATCCCAAGCATTGATGACATGTTGGACGAGTTGGCGGGATCCCGTTATTTTTCCAAATTGGATTTGCGAGCGGGTTACCATCAGATACGGGTGGCAGAAGAGGACATTCACAAGACGGCATTCCGGACTCATCAAGGTCACTATGAATATTTGGAGAATGATTTTCAGATAAAGCCTTCGAAGTGTTCTTTTGGCCAAGAATCGGTGGAGTATTTGGGCCACATCATATCTTTTGAAGGAGTTAAAGTGGATTCCAAGAAAATTGAGACGATGCTTGGTTGGCCTAAACCGAAGAATTTGAAGGAACTTCGGGGGTTTTTGGGGCTGACCGGATATTATCGAAAATTTGTCAAAGACTTTGGATCGATTGCTAAGCCATTGACGAAGATGACGAAAAAGGGGGGGTTCAAATGGTCGGCTAGTAGTGAGGAGGCATTCGAAAAACTCAAGGGGGCTATGTCAATGACCCCGATTTTAGCTATGCCTAACTTGGAGGTGATGTTTGAAGTGCATACGGACGCTAGTGATATGGGAATTGGAGCCGTTCTTACGCAAGAAGATCGACCCATTGCTTATATGAGTAAAGCCTTGGGGGGTGTACGAGTGGGATGGTCGGTCTACGTGAAAGAGTTGCTGGCTGTGGTAGAAGCGGTCCGAGTTTGGAGGCCTTATCTTTTGGGTCGACATTTTCGAATTGTGACGGACCAACAACCTCTAAAGCATTTGTTGGAGCAACGAATAGTGACACCGGAGCAACAAAAATTTGTGTCAAAACTCATGGGGTTCGACTTTGAGATTTGTTATAGGCCGGGTCGACAAAACGCAGTGGCGGATGCATTATCTCGTCGGACGGACGTGGCCGAACTTCAAGCCATCTCGGGGCCAACATGGGCTATATGGGATCAACTACGAGAGACAAATGCTCAAGATGCCTTTTGTAATGATGTTCGTAGGAAAATGGAAGCTCAAGAGGAGGAGGTCCAAGATTATGATGTTTATGGCGGCTTGTTACTATACAAAGGTCGGGTGTATGTACCGGAAACCGATAACTTGAGACATGAGCTGGTACAATATTTCCATGATGCCAAGATTGGGGGACACTCGGGAGTGTATCGTACGTGGGCAAGGCTATCCAATACCTTTTATTGACCAGGGGCAAAGAATGACGTTCGGGAGTTCGTAACAACGTGTGACGTTTGCCAAAGGGTGAAGTCGGATTCCAGAAAACCGGGAGGGCTTTTACAACCTTTACCGATACCCGAAAGAATTTGGGAGGACATAACAATGGACTTCATCGAAGGACTTCCAATGTCCAATGGGTTCAACGGGATCATGGTGGTCGTGGACCGTCTTACCAAATATGCACATTTCATTCCTATTACTCATCCGTATACGGCTAAATCCATAGCTAAGTTATTTATTGAGTATGTGATGAAGTTGCATGGGATGCCCCGGTCCATTGTATCGGATAGGGATCGAATATTCATGAGTAGTTTTTGGAAGGAGTTTTTCAAAATGCAGGGTACCGAGTTGGCTATGAGCTCAGCATATCATCCTCAAACGGACGGGCAAACTGAGGTAACCAATCGCATTCTCAAACAATATCTTCGATGCTATGTTCATGAATTTCCGAGAAGATGGGAAGGATTTCTACCATGGGCTGAATTTTGGTATAATACAACATACCATGCATGTAACGCCCCACTTTTATTTACCGAAAATCAGAATAAATTTTTCAAAATTTATTTCAAAACACATGGCGGCGCTACTCATTTTCAAACAATTTCCAACAATATCATAAATATACTCCCACGCGGGTTCAATCATCATGTCAACACCCACACCGGGTTCATAAATAACATTAACTCTCAAAATTGAGTTCCTCAAATCATAAATACCAGGGAGTACACTCCCTATCAAATCCGGTGCTTAATCATAATTCATAAATGCATAAACAGTATTAAGGAATTCAACAACGGAAGAAATCAATAAAATGACCACCACTCTCCTCCGTCCGTCGTGCTCACCATTACTAACCTGCATCCCTAAAGAGCGGTGGGGATGAGCACAAATGGAAGCCGTAGTGCTCACCACTATGCGATAAATGTTAATGAAAATAATCAACAATAATCGACAATCGAAAGGTATGGTCTCAGCATGTATACAAAGCAATAATCTACCCCATTCTCCCATCAATAATCACAACAATCAGACTCATGTGCACACCTATATCAATAGACTACTGCTGGTAGACGTATCGAATGCCCCATGGGCTTTTATCGAATGCCCCTCGGGCTTATACGTCTAATGCCCCTCGGGCTTCTACACCGAATGCCCCTCGGGCTTCTATCGATGCCAACAGTAGGAGTAAACCCCACGGGTTTCACTTTACAGTTACAGGGATAACCGTTCGACGGCCGGTACAGCTCACATCGAAGGCTAAATATTCCATATGCATACTTTGATCATACCACAAGTAAAACAGTAATAACAATATATAACATTTACAGCATAGCCAATTTTTCAAAACCCACCTGGAAATTTTGGTAGAAAATTGCACAAAAAAGCAAGTACGTAGGATGAGGGCTCGACTCCTCAAACACCTACATTTGAGCGAGATAATATATCAATAACCTATCTCACTACTCGAATTTTACATAAAACCCATACTTAATAAAAATTAAGACTTAAGGGTTTTAATCGGATTTTTCGTGGACTTGGAACTCTCTCATTTTTGAAAAAATAGGACTCGGAGAACAAAAATGGGGTCTTGGGACTTAAAATATTTTTTTCCCAAATTTTCGCTTGAAATAATGGATTGCACAAGCTGTCCAAAATTTGGGCCTTTGCCACACGAATTGGGCCAAGAACTCGCACAATTTGGGCTGCAGCATGAAGTCTGGCCCAGCTTGAGAAAGGGCTGTTCGTGGGCTGGGTATTGGGCTTTGCGGGCCAGCAGTTGTGAGGTAACCAGGCCGCGCGCGGGCTCACTTTGGGCCATTCGGCCCGCTCACTTAACCACAGCTACACTGGGCGAAAAAAATAAAATTCTACGGGAGAGAGATTCGAACCAAGGACCTGCTTCACATAACTGAAGACGTAGACCGCTGCGCTACACGTCGGGTTGGAATTATGTTTGAACTATTAATATACTGAATGTTAAAACGTTTCCTACAGCAAAACCACCAGAATCACTGGGAATTCTCAGAAACTTTTGACGGAATCGATAACCACACTTCCAACAGCAACCGGGTTAAGAATGTAAAACGTCTACGAAAATAATACACTTACAAAGTTTCGAAAACCATTTAAAGTCGGGTCGAAAGTCAAAACGACAATACGTAGTTCAAAAACAAACAAATGACACAACGACGACGGCAAGGCTCGAAAAGACAAAACGAGACACCGAAATCACACGAATTCAACACAGCAGCATCGGGACTCAATTAATACGATAAACGAGAGTTCCGATAATCCACGAAATTTCACGAATATACGAAATAAATAACGAATAAACAAACCAACCAAATATACGATAGTCGATTAATTAATTCCAGAAATACAACAGCACGAACAGTAAAACAGAATGGTTCCAAAGGATTACCCGTCTTCGGAAATCTATGAGTTTATCAAAAGAACGGTCGGGTCGAACGAACGGTACTCGGACTCTCTCGAAAGTGCTGCTCACGAACAGTACCAAGGTTTAATTGAAGCTGACGGCTTCTACCTCAAGAACGACGGTCGACGGCGGCTCTGCTGGATGACTCGCCGGAGAATAAGGTTGCAGGTGGCGATTTTTTTAAAAACTGAGCAAGAGAGAATCTGAAAGATGGAGAAGAATTTCTCTCTTCTTTGGCCGAGATATATGCGAGAAAAAGAGGTGGAGAACGTGCGGAATAGTCCTCCCCCTAGAATCACAACCAGATTTGAACGAAGAAGAACAAGTCGTTGGGAAGGAGATATCCTTTCTGCTCACAAAATCACGTGCGGTTAATAAGAATGAGAACGGCGTTGGGTCTGCTGAGATTTAACTCTTAATTGGGCCAGAAATAATTAACTATTTGGGCCAGAATTCAATCTTAAGGGCCAAAATTAATATATACAATGGGCAAAGATAATATGCAAGACATTGGGCCATGGTATTATATAATTACAATTAAAGGTAATGGGCCAACATATTATAGCATAGCAATTGGGTTGGAATAATTATCTCATAATGGCTAGATTAAAAGAAAAATCTTGCTTCTCAAGAGACTATACACCACACTAGAGATGTTAAACGGTCCTTGGCCCGACGGGCCGGCCCGTTTAGCCCAGAAAAAACAGGGTTAGGGCTTCTTATTGGTAGCCCGTTTAAATCAGGGCTTTTTAGACCCGGACCGTTTAAACCGAAGCCCGTTAGGGCTAGCCCGAAACCTGCTAGGGCTGGCCCGTTTAACTTGAGTTGGGAGTTGTAAATATTTGCAACAAGTAAGTAATATACTCTTAGATTCATTGTATATTACAATTTTGCTATTTCACTTCACATATAAGTATGAATTGTAACGGATTATATTGATTTTGAAACATAATTATTAACAATATTCTTATTTTACTCCACACCAAAATATTTAACTCAATCAGAACGAC